CAATGATAGTAATACAAAACAAAACATTTTGGTGGCTTTTATAATTTCTTTTTCCAACTATAAAATTAATGATGCCAATATAAGGAAAAAGGGAGATTTAGAGAAATCTGTATTTTCTTTTTCTTAATATGCAATATTTACTATGGAAAAATTTAACCTGGAGATGTTAAATCATCTTTATGCAATGTGAAACTGCTGTTTTATTTTATTTTATTTTGTTTTTAAATTTTTTTTAATGTTTTTTATTTATTTCTAGGAGAGAGAGAGAGAGACAGCGTGAGCAGGGGAGGGTCAGAGAGAGAGGGAGTCACAGACTGAAACAGGCTCCAGGCTCTGAGCTGGCAGTCAGCACAGAGCCTGACACGGGGCTCGAACCCACGAACCGCGAGATCATGACCTAAGCGAAAGTCGGATGCTTAACCGACTAAGCCACCCAGGCGCCCCGTGAAACTGCTGTTTTAAAAAGGCATTGTGCTAGTCACTGTGACACAGAACTAAACTTACCATCTCCATCTCTGGTAACTCATTGTAGGAAGGAAGACAAATATGTAAACAAGTAATTAGAAAGTGATGTTATGTGTGCTATACCACAATGATCTAGAAAGTGACATCTTAACATGGAGACTATTGCTACTGTTGGTTTCTATATGATAGAGGAAGTCTGAACTTTGTGTAGGAGGCAATAGGCAGTTGTCATGATTTCTTTTAAATTCTCCGAGAACAGGAATGGCTTATGTACAACAGCATTTCCAGTGTCTATTCGGGTAAAAAGCTATGAGGAAATGTTAGGAACAAGTGAATCAAACACATTTAAGAATGACAAATTGAATACATGGCACAATGGAATGGAAGCACTCAAAGAATGACTCTATAATCCTAGCCTGGAAACTAAAAATAAAGATACTTGTATCCAAAATGGAATAATGGAGAAGGTATGGGAAAGCAAATGCTTTAGGTATACTGAAATAAGGATTATAGTAAGATATCCCAATGAAAATACTTTATAGACACACAGAAATACGGAACTAGACTCTAGGTACAAAGTGAGGGCTAGATGTATAGATTTAAGACTCATAAATATAAAGATGATACATTAAACTATGAGAAGATAATTTCTATTAGAAAATAAATACTTAAAGAAAATAGCTCTAAGTCAAAGGAGTGATCTTAGGTCATGACTATGTTTGAGAAGGGAAAAAGGAAGTAATGAGGGTAAAGTTATCACATGACGGTGTAAAACTGTGATGTTTCAACAAGAATGAAATATTCTACTTTATCACTGAAGCATTTTTCCAATTAAAGATTTTTAATTCATTTCTCACTCCCAGTAACCACAATACTAAAACTGTGCTCAGCTAGGTGAGTAATATGGTAATTATTTAGTTTGGATCCCCCAAATTCGTTATATTTTTACAAAACTCAACTGTGTACTTGAATATTATTTTCATCCTGGTGGCTGCTTGAAAATGATTAACTTATAGCTTACCAGTAACAAGATACTAGCTTCACCCTAACAATCTAAACATGAGAACAACATACACTCTAGCTATTGACAGTCTTTGGGTGGTATCACATTGGAAAACCAAATCATAAGAGATTATTGATATACTTTTCAGCTCACTTTAAACAATATAATAGAACTTCATACAGAATGATAGGTATTCTGTAAAACACCCTAAACATCAGGCTGCAAACTTCCAAAACCAGAAGAAAATGAAAGGATGATGACAAATAACTGCAATATTTCTCAGCCACAAAAAGGCATTTCAGTCAAGAGAATTAGACTGTATGCTTTAATCCTGTACTGGAAATCAAACCAAGATAAGTCACTTATTTGCTTTATTAGCTCCAGGTTCACTTACAGGTTTCAACTTCTCAACTATTGTATGAAAAACAGGTTTATTTTTTTCTAGTCATTCTTTTCATATATTGTCACTATTACAAACAAAATGAATCAATAGGAAATTTTACTCTAAAGGAGGGAGCCTCTTTTTCTAGCCTTCATCTACTGGTAGTATCCACTTTGTACCGGTCATTTGAAAATCAACACATTCAAATGACTCTTGCATCACTCAATTTAACACCTACAATGTTGACTATTTCAAGTATCCCTGAGGGTCCATGACATGTGATAACTTATAATCTGTTGAGACATGAGTTAAGAGTTGTGAATGCTGGAAGGGTGAGGTGTGCAAATTTTGACAAAAATGTTACTTTACTGCAAGCTTTTCCCACAAAGCAATATATAGGGAAGACTGCTTACTGGCATTTGAACTGCTTACTTTGACTTCTTTAGGAAGAACATTATGGGGCAAAAAGATCATACTTATTTTGCATTTCAGTGTATAGGACCTGCATGTAGTAAGTAGTAGGCACAGGAAGGAATCTGCTAATTGACTGGATTTATGGAAGGTAAAGAGAAACCAGGGAAATGAAAGAAACATGGTAGCTAGAAATTATGGCTAACAGCATCTGAACAATCACCACCACCACTCCCTCACTCCCATTCCCAATGCCAAGAAGTCCAATTGCTCTTTCCCCTTCTTCACATGATCCACAGGCTACATTTTTGTTATTTTTTATCCTTAAGATTAATTCTATGAGGGGGAAGGAGGAGAAGAGAAGGGAAGCACGCAATTTGATTTGCATCAGGGTCAAATACTGTTCTCCTTTACCTCTTGCTTTTATTGTCCACCAAACATACTGGACTACTCTTTTTTTTTTTTTTTAATTTTTTTTTTAATGTTTTATTTATTTTTAGGAGAGAGAGAGACAGCGTGAGCAGGGGAGGGTCAGAGAGAGAGGGAGTCACAGGCTGAAACAGGCTCCAGGCTCTGAGCTGGCAGTCATCACAGAGCCCAACGCGGGGCTCGAACCCACGAACCGTGAGATCATGACCTAAGCGAAAGTCGGACGCTTAACCGACTAAGCCACCCAGGCGCCCCATACTGGACTACTCTTAAAATGAGCATAAAAATAAAGGGACATGAAGTGGGAAGTAATTAGCTAATTTTTGAGTAAGTAATACGAAGCACATGTCATATATTTATGACAAGTACATTAATCTTATGAACATTAAACACTCCATTTCAATTTCAGTATTCAAATATTCTTTAATAGAATAAACAAAACTATTATGTAATGGATTAACCAAATTCTTTTAAGTTTTATTTATTTATTTTTGAGAGAGAGAGGGAGAGAGCATATGTGTGCACAAGAGCAGAGAAGGGCCAGAGAGAAAGGAACAGAGA